GAAGTCTGTAGTGCAAAACAGGCTCATTGCAGACACTGATGCTGTGATAAGACACACTTTTTGGCCAAATATCAGCATTTTCTTTCTTTTAATTTTTTTGCACAGATTGCAAAGTGGCAAAGTATTATAACTTATTGTTCTAGCAAAGGGATTGCACAATTGTATTATGTATTTATTTGACCACACAGACATGGAGCATTGTTTTATTATCACTGTTCTAGCAAAGTAATGCTCACGTTCATATTGATGTATTTTAATAAATGTTAACTTGGACCATTACGTGACTATTTGTGTTGGGGGACCCCGATTATTTTTTTTTCTCCAAAGGGGGTGCCTGACAGAAAAGGTTTGCGAACCACAGTGTTAGCCTGTTCCGACCAGGGGCGGGCCCACATCGTACGACCGGCCCATCAGGATTCTTCCCTGGTTCCGACCATTCTTCGTTTTCCGAGGCTAGGAAGGATTCTTGCCTCGCTTCTCCAGGACCTGACTCGGAAGACATGGCCTACCAAGGAAGCGTCCTCGACATTGAGAAACACCCTGGAAGTACCGGAGTACTGGTTTTGAAAACTTCTGTCACGTAGTGATCATCTTCTCAATAAAACATTTTTGCTGATGTTTTTTCGAGTCTTCTGGCCAATCAGAATCAAGATTGTTGCCGGAAGTCCCCACGGAGAATAACTTTGCGGTATAACTATTCTTTATACATCCATGGGTACAACTTCAGATACAAATGAACACATAATGAAATATGACCCCCGGCTTGATGATTGACAGGTCACAGAACAATGGGAGCTATCTACCCTTACCCACAATTTAAAATAATTCACACAGACTATCTCCTCTTTGCTCTTCTCTCTGTGAGGAGCAGCAAGTTCAGCTTCAGAACAAAGTGAAACACAAATAATGGCATAAAATATTATTAATATGTCGGGTAGTAATAGATTTATTTATTTTCTTCTCAGAGTGTACCAGAATGCATAGTTTATATGTTAGTATTTCAAAAATAGATTTGAGTGGTTCAAAATTTCGGGTCGCGATTTATTGACAAAGGAAAAAAGTGGGTCCTGAGGCCTGACCAGTTGAGCATGTTCAGTCCATAATAACATGTAAAATGAAAGTTGGATCTCTGTATCTTGTTATTATTAGCAGAGAAAATGTAATGTTTGTACAACTACAATTAATGCTACCAATCTAGGTTGGTACCTGCCCGGGTCAGGGGGGTCTTGAAAATATTTCCAATTACCCAAGGGGGGCCTGACTGAAAAGGTTTGGGAACCTCTGCATAAACATATGCATCTGCATCGTCACTGCTGTGCCTCGTCTCCTGATATGTGGATGTGTTTAGATTTCAGAGGACATTCGGCTCTTTGAATTCTGAAATGAATGCTGCAACGATAAGTATACATTGACACAGTAGAAAACAAATATTTGACAACTTTTTTGATGATTGAAAAGTTGATATAGTAATTACTATATTATTCATTAGAAATTGGAGAAAAAGTTATTCACAGCTTCTTAAATGTTCAGTTTTCCTGCATGTCTTTATAATATATTAAAGTGGACATCTTTGGGATTTGGTCTGACAAAACAAGACATTTAAAGACATAATATTGGACTGAGAAACTGGGATGGACATTTTTCAATATTTTATGACATTTAATAGAACAAACAATAGAGAAAATGATCTGCAAAATTCCTCAATAATGAAAATAATTTGCAGCCATAAAAGTCATCCAAATGAACAGAAGGTTCTGAATCTCAGAAGGAAGTGCATTTCTATCTCACAGTCCAACAGTGACCAGATATGTCATGCCAATCATATATATATATGTCCCAAAAATGCTTATTTGCTTTGTTTTTTTTTGTTTTACTTGTATTGGTGTTTGAACCTGCTTTGTGTGTCTTTGTTGTCACTGAGTTTATTTTCAGTTCTATTATAGTACTTTTTTGTATAGTTGCATAGTTGTCTTTTAATCTGTTTTTAAATGTTCTTTGTAGTTTTTTGTGTGTGTTTGTAGTTATTTTGAGAATCTTTGTAGCAGCTTGTTTGTGTCTCTCTCATGAGTCCGAGTAGTTGCTTTGCAGTCATTTTGACTTCCTTTTCAGTTGTTTTGTTTCTCTTTTTCTCTTTGTGAGGTCATTTTGTTTCTCCTATGAGTTGCTTTGTCTCTTTAGTAATGAGTTTGTGTGTGTCTCTGTGTAGTAATATTGTGTTCTTGTGTTGTGCTCTGTTTTGCAGTCAGCTGTAGTCTTTCTTTTTGTTCTCTTGGATTTTTGGCTCGTTCAATAGTCCAGTTTATAAGGCGTTTAAATGTTAAGTCGAGTGTGAGAATGTACATGTGCAGTATTTAGAATACTTCAGAATAATATAGACAGCTGACACGGCAACAGTAGTTACTGGTCTCATATTTAAAAGAGCCCTTTGTACCAGATGTCAGAAAAACGATAAATAACAACTTTATATTTGGCACTGAGGCTGCATTAGTCTCTTTGTTCTGGTCCGCAGCTTCCTGTCTGTGACATTCTCCATGTCATTTGGAATCATTTGTTTTTTGTGTCTTTTTAATGATTTCTTCTTGGAGTTTTATTTAAAAACACCTGAATAAATTGGATTTGGTATGTTTTTTGTACAGACTGTTAAATGGGGCTTTCCCTATGTCACCCTGTGGTTGTTTTTGTGTTGAAGTTATTCTATATGCTCAGAATTGATTCCATTAAAGTCAATATCTTTCAAGTTGCTATCAATGTGTCTTTTGTTCCTACTGAGCATTGATATGTGTTGAAAATGTCATCATACTGGACAGCAAAGGGGGGGGGGTCTTTTTGTTATGTGCTTTCTATTCTACCACTGGTCTGTTCTGATGATGTGGCTGATCCAACCACTAAATCAGGCTTTTTAACAGGCTTCTGCTTTTCTTTATGATAGCAAGCGTTAAAGCTTCCTCTTGAAATATATTCATCATCAATAGCATCTTTCAGCTCTCTCCCTGCTGCCCCCCCCCTCGCTTTCACTCTCCCCCTCACTCCTCCGCTCCCCCCCCCCCCCCCCCCCCCTCTCTCCCTCTCTCCCTCCCTTTCTCCTTCAGTGATCTTCAGCTCAGCTTGGAGTCATGAGGTAAGAACGGAGCTCTCCTTCTATGTATTTAAATCACATTATTATCGTATCGTATGTATATGTTACCCGGGTAAAGCGTGCATTCCGAGCCTCCTGCCCTCTCTGGCTCGGCTCGGCTCGGTTCGGTTCGGCTCAGAGCTGTGAGTCACAGACAATGCGAGGATGTCAAATCAGACGCTAGGAGGCTCTTTCTAAAACCTGCAGCATCAAATCCAAATATGTAAGCTTTAAATCCGACTTTTATTATTCAGATTATATTCTCAGAGCTGCGTTTTTATCATGTTTCCATTCCATCCATCATTCATGCGGTGTTTTGGGGGTGCGTCCTCTTTTCTTTCTCCTCCTTCATGCGGGCGGACGATGGAGGGTGGAGGGATGATGAATCATAGATGTCGACAAAAAAAAGGCTGCAGCGAAAACCCATTTCAGGGGTCGAATCACAGTCTATGGGTCGTATATAACAATGGAAAAATGTTGCCGGTTTGATAGGCCTAGTAAGTATCCTGTTTGGTAAAAAACAACAGTGTGGACCTCCATCACACGGTCTGCTCAGGTCCAGCTGCTGGATCTGATCTCAGGTGGTTTATTTTCCGGCTGGTTGATGATTAGTGGCCGTGAACGTCTCCTGCGGCCTGTGTGTGTCTGTGCTGCGTTCATGGCCCTGCTGTCTCATGACTCTGTCTCAGTAGTGTTCTCTGTGTTTATGTGGAAGCTATCCTGATGGTATCTGCATGTTTTTAGATTCGTAGGCCTATGGCTGTTTTATTCCGGTCTGTATTTATCGTTTAGGCTGTAACAACACTGGGTCAGATCTCTTTGAAATCAACTCAGTTACTGGATAGAAACAACGGGGCATTTTCTTAGTAAAGTTACCTGTACAGGAATGAAAAACGTGTAATATAATTTCAATTTCAAACACAATCAAGCATTGTAAATATTTCACCATTTTTAAAATGTCAATGTCAAAATGATAATTTCTCTCATGCGGATTAAATGTATTTTACATATTCAGCCTTTCAAGTTGGTCAAGTGAAATGACCCTTACCACTGTGTGGATTCTATAACACGGGGACCGGAGTGCTTTACTTTTATTTTCTACAGACATTACCATCGATGTAATCAAATCATCCGTGAATATAACTATAATCTAAATTCTATTCCTCTTGTCAATATAATCTACGCTCATTATAGTTAGGTGTAGGCCTACTATGTTTGTAATCAGAGGATATTAACCTGATTACTTTAATCATACTATCCAGCCCTGTTTATAAATGAAATGATCTGATATTAAGGTTTGACCCAGTGATTGAAAGAGGAAATAAGAATATTAAAGCTGTGTGCTCAGCTTTGATGTTCAGCAACAAATCTGATGTGGGATTCACACAACGTTTCTGTTTTATAATGAGAAGAAAGAGCAGAGAATATTGTTTAAAACTTGTAAATATTTTCTCAAAAGATGAATATGATTTTGAGCTGGTTTAATGTTTTTGAATAAAATTAGACTATATAAGGTTCATCTATCATTTTCATTGATTAATGCCATAGTGTACACACAAGGTCAAGTATTAATAACTCATTTATTTTCACTCTGTCTGCCTTAGATGATGATTCTTAATTTAATTAGTATTTCAAAGCTTGTTTGTAATCTTACAAAGATGGGTTTAGGAGTAATGATCGCCAACAGATGTGTTCTCAATAACTGTAGAAGTGTTATAATATATCTCCAGGAGAGTCTTTAATAGTAATCTCAACTACAGGATTCTCTCAGTTCTTCTCTTACAATCATAGTTAGGGCACGTGATATTATATTTGTTTATTACGTCATAGAACAGGAAACAGAGGGAGAGGAAGTGAAGGGTAAATGTGACCCTGGTGATCAGAGATGACCCGCGTCATGAACACAACACAGGCAGGCACACGTCTGTGGTTCTGCTTTAGTGGAAAGGTTGATGACGGTCTGTCTGTAAACGTGCCACGTTGTAGTTGGACTTTTCATTACCTCTCTTAATAGAGTTGTATATTATCCAGAATCCTGAAGATTTGGGGATTTCCCTGAACAGCTGATCCCAGAGCCTGATGCTGCTGACAGATGAGTGTGATGGAGTGAGTGCAGGGTGGAGGACTCAGGGTGTGGCTCTCTTCTGTCTGTTTATGGACCAACATCGTCAAAGGACATTTCAGAAATGCAACCTTTAGAATCAAAGAGAAGCGTTCATACAGTAATGACCAGTTTCACCAGATTCACAGGAAAAAAGGAGAGCTGATGGTTAGGGCTGGCTTTTGTATTTTGGTTGTATAATGACTGATTCATTTTGGTTGTAAAGGAAGTATAAAAAACAAAACAATTTATAATCTATGAATAAAATATGGTGGTGACCAGATTTTCACCAACATTTAAAGTAACATAAAGATAAGTCAAAAGTGTTAAACCTACCCAGAAGTATCATCACAGGTTATACTGCATGTATACTTATATGTCACTTTTGGAATGTGTAACTCCAAATTAAAATACTGAAATCATCCTGGATTTTTTTATTTATCCGATGGCCAAAGAGACCAGACTATAATCCTAATCTTCAAAAAATATATTGAAATCAATTTGAGTCCTTCCTGTTTTCTGATCTGCTCCTACTCAAACAAACACTTATCCTTTTTGAGGAATATTCCATTTTATCTTTGAATATTATGGAAATTCTCAGGTGCAGGCAAATATATATTTTTCATATTTCTTTTTAAAATCTATTTAAAAATGTTAATTAATTAAATGTCTTATCATCCTTCTTATATGTACCTTCTAGTTTGTGGGACAACATTCAAGGATTGCATTTCCTTAGTACAACATTGTGATTTGAGCCTCTGAATACGAAATGTACCTTCTTCTTTTTACATCCTTTGCTTTCCTACTGTTGGAAAGATGTCTTGACAACATAATTCATTTATTTAATGTTGTGGTCACTGGTCAAATGTCTGATTGTCCTTAAATGCACCAACAGGATGTGATGTCTCTCAGCTTCATCTGCACATGAGGAGAATGTTTGACAGAAAACAAGCAAATGTGTATTTTCTTAGAAATGTAGTGAAATCCATCTGAAAACTGAGTGATTTAGTAAATGGAGGCTGGTCACCAGAGAGGTGTGTGATGTGGAGTTTAGTTTCAGTGTGTGTGGGACACTGAACTGTCTGGGATCAAGTTTAAAACTAAACCTCAGGTTCTTTTAGCTACAAACTGCAGAAAGCTTTAATATGTGGCTTTACAATAAATATGAATTGGTCATTTAAACCTGGAACAGTTTTTATTCAAACATACTGAGAATCTACAAAAACGTTACAATTTGACATTTATAGGTAATATGTATTTAGTTAGTGTTCTTCAAAACAAAGCTCCACATTGCTTATGTTACATCAAGTTTAAGTTACGGATAAAGTTAGTTGTAGTCATTTAAATCTGATTGAAAAGAGTTTGTAGCATAATGTGCTTTAATGGTTGACTCGTCTATGTTGGTGTCTTTAGAGTTGTACTAATGGTTATTCTAAAACACGCAGAGTGCAGTGAAAGTGAATGTTTTGGGGGTTTTGGCCGTTGTTGAAATGAAGTTGTGTCTGCAAACCACAGCCTTTTATTAAGACAGACAGGAGGTCCTTCTTCTCTGAGCTGAAGAGGCATTGATGATGTCACATTATAAACGTTGAATTTTAGGAAAGTTGCGTAGCTTCAGACAGAGAGAGCTGAACGTCTGCTGTCCAACACTGATCTGACCTCCGTCCTGCTGAGGCTCAACTCTGCTGTAGAGCTGAGGACTGAGAGTTGACCTGGAAACCAAAAGGTCCCCTCATGGAGCTTCTGCCCCACATCTCTCTTTCCTCAGCTCATGTAGGAGGCGTGGTCATCATGAACCTGCCCCACAGCTCTCTCTTTCCTCAGCTCATGTAGGAGGCGTGGTCACCATGAACCTGCCCCACAGCTCTCTCTTTCCTCAGCTCATGCTGGAGGCGTGGTCACCATGAACCTGCTCCACAGCTCTCTTTCCTCAGCTCATGCTGGAGGCGTGGTCACCAAGAACCTGCCCCACAGCTCTCTCTTTCCTCAGCTCATGCTGGAGGCGTGGTCACCATGAACCTGCCCCACAGCTCTCTCTTTCCTCAGCTCATGCTGGAGGCGTGGTCACCATGAACCTGCTCCACAGCTCTCTTTCCTCAGCTCATGCTGGAGGCGTGGTCACCAAGAACCTGCCCCACAGCTCTCTCTTTCCTCAGCTCATGCTGGAGGCGTGGTCACCAAGAACCTGCCCCACAGCTCTCTCTTTCCTCAGCTCATGCTGGAGGCGTGGTCACCATGAACCTGCCCCACAGCTCTCTTTCCTCAGCTCATGCTGGAGGCGTGGTCACCATGAACCTGCCCCACAGCTCTCTTTCCTCAGCTCATGCTGGAGGCGTGGTCACCATGAACCTGCTCCACAGCTCTCTTTCCTCAGCTCATGCTGGAGGCGTGGTCACCATGAACCTGCCCCACACCTCTCTCTTTCCTCAGCTCATGTAGGAGGCGTGGTCACCATGAACCTGCCCCACAGCTCTCTCTTTCCTCAGCTCATGTAGGAGGCATGGTCACCATGAACCTGCCCCACAGCTCTCTCTTTCCTCAGCTCATGTAGGAGGCGTGGTCACCATGAACCTGCCCCACACCTCTCTCTTTCCTCAGCTCATGTAGGAGGCATGGTCACCATGAACCTGCCCCACAGCTCTCTTTCCTCAGCTCATGTAGGAGGCATGGTCACCATGAACCTGCCCCACAGCTCTCTCTTTCCTCAGCTCATGTAGGAGGCGTGGTCACCATGAACCTGCCCCACAGCTCTCTCTTTCCTCAGCTCATGCTGGAGGCGTGGTCACCATGAACCTGCCCCACAGCTCTCTCTTTCCTCAGCTCATGCTGGAGGCGTGGTCACCATGAACCTGCCCCACAGCTCTCTCTTTCCTCAGCTCATGCTGGAGGCGTGGTCACCATGAACCTGCCCCACAGCTCTCTCTTTCCTCAGCTCATGTAGGAGGCGTGGTCACCATGAACCTGCCCCACAGCTCTCTCTTTCCTCAGCTCATGTAGGAGGCGTGGTCACCATGAACCTGCCCCACAGCTCTCTTTCCTCAGCTCATGCTGGAGGCGTGGTCACCATGAACCTGCCCCACAGCTCTCTCTTTCCTCAGCTCATGTAGGAGGCGTGGTCACCATGAACCTGCTCCACAGCTCTCTTTCCTCAGCTCATGTAGGAGGCGTGGTCACCATGAACCTGCCCCACAGCTCTCTCTTTCCTCAGCTCATGCTGGAGGCGTGGTCACCATGAACCTGCCCCACAGCTCTCTCTTTCCTCAGCTCATGCTGGAGGCGTGGTCACCATGAACCTGCCCCACAGCTCTCTCTTTCCTCAGCTCATGCTGGAGGCGTGGTCACCATGAACCTGCCCCACAGCTCTCTCTTTCCTCAGCTCATGTAGGAGGCGTGGTCACCATGAACCTGCCCCACAGCTCTCTCTTTCCTCAGCTCATGTAGGAGGCGTGGTCACCATGAACCTGCCCCACAGCTCTCTCTTTCCTCAGCTCATGTAGGAGGCATGGTCACCATGAACCTGCCCCACAGCTCTCTCTTTCCTCAGCTCATGTAGGAGGCGTGGTCACCATGAACCTGCCCCACACCTCTCTCTTTCCTCAGCTCATGTAGGAGGCATGGTCACCATGAACCTGCCCCACAGCTCTCTTTCCTCAGCTCATGTAGGAGGCATGGTCACCATGAACCTGCCCCACAGCTCTCTCTTTCCTCAGCTCATGTAGGAGGCGTGGTCACCATGAACCTGCCCCACAGCTCTCTCTTTCCTCAGCTCATGCTGGAGGCGTGGTCACCATGAACCTGCCCCACAGCTCTCTCTTTCCTCAGCTCATGCTGGAGGCGTGGTCACCATGAACCTGCCCCACAGCTCTCTCTTTCCTCAGCTCATGCTGGAGGCGTGGTCACCATGAACCTGCCCCACAGCTCTCTCTTTCCTCAGCTCATGTAGGAGGCGTGGTCACCATGAACCTGCCCCACAGCTCTCTCTTTCCTCAGCTCATGTAGGAGGCGTGGTCACCATGAACCTGCCCCACAGCTCTCTTTCCTCAGCTCATGCTGGAGGCGTGGTCACCATGAACCTGCCCCACAGCTCTCTCTTTCCTCAGCTCATGTAGGAGGCGTGGTCACCATGAACCTGCTCCACAGCTCTCTTTCCTCAGCTCATGTAGGAGGCGTGGTCACCATGAACCTGCCCCACAGCTCTCTCTTTCCTCAGCTCATGCTGGAGGCGTGGTCACCATGAACCTGCCCCACAGCTCTCTCTTTCCTCAGCTCATGCTGGAGGCGTGGTCACCATGAACCTGCCCCACAGCTCTCTCTTTCCTCAGCTCATGCTGGAGGCGTGGTCACCATGAACCTGCCCCACAGCTCTCTCTTTCCTCAGCTCATGTAGGAGGCGTGGTCACCATGAACCTGCCCCACAGCTCTCTCTTTCCTCAGCTCATGTAGGAGGCGTGGTCACCATGAACCTGCTCCACAGCTCTCTTTCCTCAGCTCATGCTGGAGGCGTGGTCACCATGAACCTGCTGCACCTTTTCAAAGTACTACAGATATTTGTGTATAGTGTCTTGGAATTAGTAAATATACTAAAGATAAAACAAGCAATCCGCCTTCATAAGTCACAGAGACAGAAGCAGCATACTTACAACAACAACAACAACAACAACAACAACAACAACACAGCCTTGTGTTTGCAGACAGGAAGTGTGAGTGCTGATTCACTCTGTGATCACATGACTGTTTGTCTCATTGAATGTGCTGCAGTAAGAGCTTCATCCACCCTCTTCTTCGTCCTCCTCTTCCTCCTCTTCCTCCTCGTCCTCCTCATCCTTCTCCTCCTCCTCCTCCTCCTCCTCGTCTTCTTCCTCCTCCTCATCCTCCTCTTCCTCGTCCTCCTCGTCGTCCTCCTCCTCATCCCCCTCCTTCTCCTCTTCCTCCTCCTCCTCCTGCTCTTCCTCCTCCTCCTCTTCCTCCTCCTTTCCTCCTCCTCCTTACGTTGTGACTTCCTGTCTATGGCTCTCAGCCCCTAACCACATGGTCTGCACCCTGTAATGAATATTAAACATAAATCATAGTTTATTTTCCGTTCAGTCATTTCTAGAGAAAGCTGGTCTCTTTAGTAAACATGTTTTAAAAACATAGAGGAGAAGCTACATTTGAGGGACTACTTTCTGTGGCACATGAATGTGGGGCCCTAGTGAGTAGGCACCAGGATGGTGTGTGTGGATGTGACACAATGTGTTAGGCTTTGATATCACACGTCATATTAGCTCCATTAGGTTAGCCTTTAGCATCTGTAGGGCAGTGACTGTTAGAGGGAATGAGTGTCTGATGCACCACGTTCTATCCAGATGTCATCCTGGTTTCAACATGATAGTGAACAAACATCCTGACTGTGTCACAGTCGGCCGTGACGCTGGAACACACTGAGAGAAGTGCACTGTGTTTTCAGTGACAGATCGGATTGTTTGACTGCAGTCGCTCTACACACACACCGACGCCATTTTATTCTCCTCCTCTCTCTGCCTAAAGGATGCGGTTGCCAAGGTAACCAGACAGGGGGAAACAGGAGGTACAGAGGAGGGGGAGGGGGAGGACGTGGGTGGGAGTGATCGACACGCTCTTTGTTCAGATACACAATCCACTTTTAATGTGTAAATGTTTATTATTGAGAATGTTACTCTGAAGATCTGATTATACAGAAAAACGGAAGCAAACATTATAAATACATAATTAAAATGCCCCAATATCTGCATCCATCTGTATCTACAGCCATCTGTGGCTTTTACATAGTGGACATGTTCACACAGCACTACATCATGGAAGTCCTCTGCAGCAGGACGGGGGGGAAGATTCAACATTACATTTCTGTATTGTCATTAGGTCTGAAAACACATAACCATAATATTGATAGATGATGCACGAGAATGAAGTTTCTGTGTTTTCTGCTGAGTTGGTTTCTCAAATTCACTCAGTTCAATGTGTTCAATATAACGTTATGATTCAGATTTCAGTGCAAAGACGAGAAAGAAATAGATTTAAATTCTTCCATTGAAAGTGTTTCTATAGATGTGTGTTCACGTGCCCCAACACATTGACTCAGAATAGAACTGGCTGCTCTGACTGTGAGATGAGGGGCTTTTCCAACTGTATTGACACATTTCTATTCATTCAGAATCAGAATCAGAAATCCTTTATTAGTCCCGGGAACTGTACAATACAACATCAGAGAGATAGCAGATAAAGTGAGGGGGGAAGTAAATAAATAACACAAGTACACAATAAGTAATAAACAAAAACAAAGTAGCATGTAAAAGATGTTGCAGTATATTTGTTTTTAAGAAATAATTACCACAGTAAAGAGCTAGCAAATATGCAAATTGTAAATAAACTGAGAGAAAACACATGAAATATAGAAGGAGAAAACAATACTGGAGAAGGCCCCACATCTTGCATGGAAACAATATTTGTGTTCCTGCGGTGATTAATAAAACACAATCTCAGCAGCACATAGTCGGAGGCCATGCCATGTCCTGATCACCTCATGTGACAAAGGTGCAGAAAGAAAACATACCCTCCAACCAGGAAGGTTATTAGAAGCTAAAATGTCCCCTCCCCCCATCCAGAAGGCAGTAAGTCTCTCCAATCAGGTCGGTTACAGGAGGCTTGTTTTATACAGATTATTCTGATTCATTGTGAAATAATGGGGACCCAGTAAATGCAGCGAGTCTGAAGATGAGGACATTTGACTGTCATGATGAACATTGACCATGAGACACTGCGGGCGGGGTACAAGGCAAGGTAGATTAATGATACTATTTTTATTTATGTGAATATTCAAAGTGACTGAGGCTGTAAAAGAAGAATATCTGAGATGTGGTGGAGTGGAAGCAGACAGTATTGAGTAAATGTGTTTCATGCTTTGTCTTCTCAAAGACTCTCTTCCTGTTTCTCTCTTCTCGTCGTCTCATATAGGGGTCACATGCTTTAGATCCGTCGTTGCCATAGAAACTGCACGGTTGAAGGTCTGCGTTAACGCTTGTTTGAACTCTCCGTCTGATTCATTATCCTCTTGGGAGCTCCCACATGTTCTTACCCAGCATGTTTTGCCAGCGACTGCAGCAGTGAGATTTTGTGTGTGTGTGTGTGTGTGTGTGTGTGTGTGTGTGTGTGTGTGTGTGTGTGTGTGTGTGTGTGTGTGTGTGTGGTGTGTGTGTGTGTGTGTGTGTGTGTGTGTGTGTGTGTGTGTGTGTGTGTGTGTGTGTGTGTGTGTGCCAGATGACAGGAGAAGCAGAAAGAGACATCCCTTGATGTAAATGTGTCACCATGGCGATAGTGGGCGAGGGGGATGTTGGCCTGATACCATGTCACCATGTCATACATGTATATATAAAAAAAGTCTTCAGATTGGTGCTTGTGCAAGCTGCTCCTCGACCTGGACCGCGGCACAGATGGTTCTAGGGCCTCCTAGGAAATAGGTTCCTTTATTTAACTGTTGCTGACTGAACATGTCTCTGACGTGAATCAAGAGCTGTGAGTCTTTTTGTGGATCATTTGGTGGAAAACAAACCTAATACATATAATTATTGTCCTCATTATTTTCATAGAGAAAGTAATTCAGTCGGTATTATGTTTCCTTTAAGAATGATGAGTAGGTGATGCAGTGTGTGGAAGTTTCATGCAGCCTTTTAATTGCAGGATCAAGTTTCAAGTTATGAACTATCATGTGCACGGCAACTAGAGAGAAGCAGTGGTTGGCAATACAAAGCTGTCAGGCTCCCACCGGCCATGCTTGATGATGTATGGATAAGGTAATCCTGAAAGTGTGATCGTGATGATGTTGCTATCTCTCTCTCTGATCTGTTTTCGGATAGAGCTGCAAAGATTAGCTGACGATCAAATCTAGCGTCCCTTTTACCATCAGTAAACACACAATGTGGCAGATGGTAGTGCACACATACATGTGACCCTTTCTTCTACATACAGTGGCTTTATGGCTGTGAACAGTATATGTCCTGACACAAAAGGATAGTTCAAATCAGATGTAGTAAGAGTAAAACACAATTAAACAGTGTAACCTGAGAATACGTCCAGAAAATCCACATGAAATGACATTCTGGATCAGGTTCCCCCACCTTCATCAGGTTCCCCCACCTTCATCAGGTTCCCCCACCTTCCTCCTACCCACAATCCCCTGAGGTCAGCTCCTCTTAATGAATGCAGCAGCAGTGACATTTGCCGCACTGACCGCCTGCTGACTTCAGATCTGCTGCACTGGGCATAAAAACCTGACGGCAGAGATACACAATCACCTGAATAGCATCAGAGACAGTCAGTTGTTTTGTATACATTGTCTCAAACAAACAAACAAACAAACCGCAGCGCCACGTCCTCTCCACATGTTGGTCTGTGCTCTGAGTCTGGTCTGCTGTGAAGGTCACCATGTGACTCACACTGAGCATGTGCAGTGTGACCTCACTGTGACACACAGACTCCATGTTAGCCTATTGATGGATTATTCGCTCACTCTGCATGTCTCTCTAACCTGAGTCGTGACTAGACTACTGTTACGGTCATCCGGGACCAATATTACATAACAGTTATTAAGGAGGATAATAGAAAGCACAGTTCAGAAAAGACAATAGTAATACCAGTATGCAACCCTGTCTGCTAAAATATTCTAGTAGTGTCAGAATGGTTTAAATGAAAGGTTTACAATGTTTCAAGTCAGGTGTTGATATGAACCCTGACGCTGTAACTACTCCCTATACCTGCACATTATTAGATCCTTTCATCCTTTTGGGGCAAGAATACATCATGGCGTTTATCTGAGGAGAAAGGGAGTCTTTACAGATCTCAGTCAATGAAACAGAGTAGATATAAGACTGCATTTTGTAATGAACACTGACTTTGGAAGATCTTAACTTGCAGTATAAAAGTGTTGCAGTAAAACAGCATCACCTCTCTTTAACTTTACCCAGGAACCTGTGCGTTGTTCAAAAAACATTTACTTTACTTTGAATGTTTTAGGAAAGATACGAAATATCTGTTGGTTTATGTTTTCAAATCTTTACAATAAAAACATGACATACGTAATACTATGTTATGTTTAAAAAAAAGTCAAACAAAGATTACAATACAAAGAAAAACATGTCTGAAAGAAACTAATGGATGTCTATGAAGTTGGTTAAAAACTCATATAATTTATATCAGAATAATATTTATATATTTTATAAAAGTAATTTTTACAATACAAAAAGTGAATTTTTCTATTGTTTTCCTGTTTGTACAAAAAAACAATGTTGAGCAGATGAAAGCAGCGAGTGGAGAGAGTTTGGTGTTCCAGACTGTTAGAGGAGTGCAGGCTGGAGCAGCCGCAGGACACACTTAGATAACATGTTATCTAACACACACACATGGAGCCAGAGTGAGAGTGACTGATCCCTCCCTTTGAGCCATGACTTAGTTCATTTATTTTCTTTAAAATATGGACATCAGAGTAGTGTTTGGGAAATATTTTCCTAGGGCCACACCTTTGACCCAGTTGATCAGTTTGTACTGCCCTCACTGAGCACAGGCCTGCAACCTCTGGATGCTCTCAGTGTCTCCCTGTTCCTGCCTGTTGGCGTCAGCTGATAGAGGAGTTATAGTGCTTTGCCGGTTTTATCTTGTCATGCAGCATGTTGATTATTCTCTCAGAGCTAAATACATGGGTCTCGGGAAAGATATTCAGAATTGGTTTGGCACCGCTGAGTCACCTCATGGCTGCAGCACATGTCTTTGTCAATGCTACGGCCGTAACTTCAAATCAATTCTTCAGTGTTTGCCATCAAGTCCCAGCTCTCCTGTGTTCTCATTGTGTTTCGACTCCATGCTCCAGAGGTTTCTATTGCAAGTAGCATTATAATGGTAACATATATATGTGTGCATAAGAACCAGATGTCCTGCGGTCAATGTACTGTATGTACTGCAATGCTAATCCACAAAGCTAAAGCTAAAGACAAAAAGGAAATGAAAATAAATCCATACAAAATACAAAAGGTGTCTGTGCAAGCTGTGAGCGGAGAGATTTCACTTTTCCCCCAAACAGGTCTCCACAAGGGTCGATTGACAGATGACCAATAGTATTCCATCAGAGCGCTTGGAGCGTTTCCACTGACGCTGCCTCTGAACAACAAACCATTTGGTGGAGGCACCACCCTGTGTGACAGTCTCTCATCCATCAGTCTAACACCTCCTCCTCCACCTGCAGGAGGCGCTGCCCAGTGTGAAGATGGCTTCCTACGATCAGCTGGCCCACCAGGTGGAGGCGCTCCGTAAGGAGAACTCCCACCTGAGGAGAGAGCTGGAGGATAACTCCAACCACCTGTCCAAACTGGAGACCGAGACCACCGGCATGAAGGTCAGTGTGGAGAGTACACCAACACCACCATCACCACCAAATCCAATGCAAACACCAGCCACACAAACACCACCAACACAGTCAAAACCAACACTAACACCACCAACACAAACAGCAACACCGACAACATCAACACCACCAACACCAACTTGACTAACACAGATTTAAAGGAGCTAACCGTTGGTTTTACCTTAAAACTTCACACCGTGTATACTTTATTTTCTGCTGAGAACTTTTCCCAATCATCCGTCATGTTTTATGTTGGAGCTTCACCTCTTCGTGTCAGCCTCAGATGCCTGTAAACTGATGGCTCGTTTAGAAAGTGAGAAGTAATGGAAGCACATGGTGATTTGTAGTCAGGCTGCAGCATCTGTTTCTGAGGTCACCTCATTGTTTTTTCTTTGTCCATGCTTTGTTCTGGACTGGAACCAGAACATTTTGAGGCTATCTATCGAATTACTATAACATCACAATTGTTGCCAGTACATTTGTGAATAAATTCTTCATAAATGTGTAGTTCATTTAAAAAACATGAAGTAAACAAATGCTGATATGGTCCTTTAATGTGATTTACACTGTAGAAAGTGAGCTTTTTGAACATTAAAATATATCGTATTACAGCTCTGGAGACCACTCCACATTTGTCTTAAATCTCAATCTCTACATGTATGGTAATTCAGTGTCTGTTGAATTCCAACACAGGTACATGTAGTCAGTAGTTTATATAATAAAAAAAAAAAGCTATAGATAACACATTCAAATCTGAGTCCAGATTGGCACAATGTGTGTGTGACGTTGCGTCTGCGTTACAAGGCACAATGTGTGTGTGACGTTGCGTCTGCGTTACAAGGCACAATGTGTGTGTGACGTTGCGTCTGCATTACAAGGCACAATGTGTGTGTGACGTTGCGTCTGCATTACAAGGCACAATGTGTGTGTGACGTTGCGTCTGCGTTACAAGGCACAATGTGTGTGTGACGTTGCGTCTGCGTTACAAGGCACAATGTGTGTGTGACGTTGCGTCTGCGTTACAAGGCACAATGTGTGTGTGACGTGCGTCTGCGTTACAAGGCACAATGTGTGTGTGACGTTGCGTCTGCATTACAAGGCACAATGTGTGTGTGACGTTGCGTCTTGCGTTACAAGGCACAATGTGTGTGTGACGTTGCGTCTGCATTACAAGGCACAATGTGTGTGTGACGTTGCGTCTGCGTTACAAGGCACAATGTGTGTGTGACGTTGCGTCTGCGTTACAAGGCACAATGTGTGTGTGACGTTGCGTCTGCGTTACAAGGCACAATGTGTGTGTGACGTTGCGTCTGCGTTACAAGGCACAATGTGTGTGTGACGTTGCGTCTGCGTTACAAGGCACAATGTGTGTGTGACGTTGCGTCTGCGTTACAAGGCACAATGTGTGTGTGACGTTGCGTCTGCGTTACAAGGCACAATGTGTGTGTGACGTTGCGTCTGCGTTACAAGGCACAATGTGTGTGTGACGTTGCGTCTGCGTTACAAGGCACAATGTGTGTGTGACGTTGCGTCTGCATTACAAGGCACAATGTGTGTGTGACGTTGCGTCTGCGTTACAAGGCACAATGTGTGTGTGACGTTGCGTCTGCGTTACAAGGCACAATGTGTGTGTGACGTTGCGTCTGCGTTACAAGGCACAATGTGTGTGTGACGTTGCGTCTGCGTTACAAGGCACAATGTGTGTGTGACGTTGCGTCTGCGTTACAAGGCACAATGTGTGTGTGACGTTGCGTCTGCGTTACAAGGCACAAGAATTGTGAAGCTTATAAAGTGAGGCAAATAGAAATAACCATCTGATCGATTGTACATGTGAAAACAGCAACGAAATAGGTACATTTGATCAGCTGACGGTGTGTTTTTCTGCCACATTTCTGACAATAACCTTGCACACCTTCTCTGAGGTGCAACGTCACAAACAAATGATGGTCCTGTCTTTTTTTAAACTTTTTTTTTAATGTTATCACAATAAAAGTGTTGTTTCTTAGTGAATTTCCTTTACTGGTCTTGTATCTCATAACATAAGCTTTAATTTTACTCGTGGATTTTCTTCTTCTTCATCAGAGAAGGAGAAAATGGTGATGCAGCGGTGTCTTTCAGGCATGTCCTTACCTAACAGAAATGACAAGAAACACAACACATGACATAACTGAAGAGCAGTGTGTCTTTAGGGGCTGTAGATATAAATGTTTTATTTCAAAGTGTTTTTTAAATTCAGCTGTGCACTACAATGAGATTATCAATGAACAGTTCATCGACATTAAAATATCAGTTTTTATTCAAATTATATTTTTATTTGTTGCCAAAACGTAACGTAGAAACATGCTGTTTCTGCAATAATCACTTTTACCATGTTTTCTTACAGACAATATGTAGAGACAAATGTTATGTAGTTCCATGTTATCCAACATTTTAGCAATAAGCTTGACTCCAACAAAGAAATACTTTTCAGGTAAGTTTGACTGTTTACTTTAAACAAAGTGGTGGCAGTACGAAAGAAACACATTTTTTAGAGCTCAAAATCCATTTAGCTCCGTGGCGCTATGACGTCAATTTCATTACGGCTGGTTTAAATCAATGATATAATAATAATGATAATAATAATAATAATAAAGAAATACAATGTTCTAATATATATATATAATATATCAAATTATACATTTTAACATATGGCTCCTACAATTAGCAATTCTCACTATATGTTAAAGAATCTTTGCCTTAAATACATGTAAATGCCAAAGCTATTTGAATAAAAACACCAGTAAAATATAAATAGAGAACTAGAATTTACTTACCGAAGAAACCACATTCATGGACGGTCCGTTTTAATTGCAGAGCAAGCCATGAGGATATTTGCTGTTTGCAATAAATATCAAAAAGAAACCAACACAACAAACACGGCTGTGGTCAAGTTATGTTCCCCCGATAAGATCATGTGTCTGAGCCGCCTGTAGCACAGAGCTGCTAACAGAGGACAGGAAGCTAACAGCCACACGGTTCCCGTACTGCGTGATGTGAAGTGAGTCTCTCACTGAAGCTGGTTCACTACAGGTACCCGTACTTCTGACTTTAAAGTCAGAATTCTGACAAAAAATGTAAAAGTCAGAATTCTGACTTTTTTCTCAGAACCAGAACAAAAGAAATGTGGCCAATGTGGTCCTAATCCTTTTCCGTACAAATCTAAATCTAAAATGAGCCGTGAACTAAAATAATGGATAAATATAGAGCTCAACAGAAAGAGAGAAACCTGTGAAACCAGGCTAAGACTCAAAGCCACACACACACACACACACATTCACACACACAGTCACGTGTCGGCATACACACTGAGCTGGTTTCATCAGAATCAGGACGTCGGACACACACACACACACACACACACACACACACACACACACACACACACACACACACACACACACACACACACACACACACACACACACACACACACACACACACACACACACACACGCGAAGGAATAAGCTCTGTTTATTTTCCTCACGGATGAAGGGAGATTTGATCTACTGCTCGGGGATTTGACTTTTTTATCTTTATGGGAGGTTTATCTATCTTTTTGTTCTGACCTTTTTGGTGTTTTTTGCTGCGTTGATGATTTTTCATCTACAAACGCAATCAACTTGCACATGGTTGTTTTTTTCGAGTTACAAACCTTTAATATGAATTCAGAGGCAAAGAAGTGATGATGAACCTTTCATATAATCTTGGTTAATAGCTTTTCCTTATCTGAATACAACCAACAGTGAACACCCTGGATGTGTCCTGTCTGTAAATGTGTGTCTGTTGCTCCTCTTGATGCAGGAGGTGTTGAAGCAGCTGCAGAGTAAACTGGAGCAGGAGGCAGGAACACTGGCCTCGTCCGGCAGGAGCGACGTGCTGGACCAACTCAAAGGTATCAAGGATCAGTTATTGTCATAAAAGATAGGAGGGATTCTACCGACTGTTTCTGAGGCTCCGCTGGGACAAATCGTTATTCTCAGAGAAATGAATCGACTCAATCAGTTGACCTGATTGGATGCAGACAGCTCTGCTCGTTATGATTCAGTCCAATTAAACAACCAATTCATGTCAATTAGTTTGTCTGGACTGAAATTAGATTACTACAACTGAGAGCAACAGCAGCTGCCATCATAGGATTAAGTCAAATTCAGTTTGAAAAAATAGACAACACATAGATGTATGGGAGAGTGGAAGGAAGCAAGGAAGCAAGGAATTAAGCTAGGAAAGGAGTGAGAAAGGAAAGAGGAGAGGATCAAGCAATTATTGTAGGAGGATATCAGGTAAGGGGTAAACAAGGAAATTAAGATATGGAATGGAATAAGGAAGGAAGGAAGGAATGAAGCTAGGAAGCAAGTAAAGGAAGGACAATTAAGAAAGGAATGAAGCTAGGAAGCAAGGGAGGAAGGAAGGACAATTAAGGAAGGAAGGAAGGAAGGAAGGAAGGAAGGAAGGAAGGAAGGAAGGAAGGAAGGAAGGAAGGGAGGGAGGAAGGAAGGAAGGAAGGAAAATTAAGCAATGAAGGAAGGAAGGAAGGAAGGAAGGAAGGAAGGAAGGAAGGAAGGGAGGGAGGGAGGGAGGGAGGAAGGAAGGAAGGGAGGGAGGAAGGAAGGAAGGAAGGAAAATTAAGCAATGAAGGAAGGAAGGAAGGAGGAAAGATTGATTGATGTTTTGTTCCTCCCTTAGAGCTCCACATGGATCTCACTAACTACTACGAACTAAAGCATCAACCCCACAACCTGAGGCTTCTGATGGGCGGTGTGGGGGGGGCAGGTGGGGGAGCGGAGGTGGACGATCGCCTGGCTCTGCCTCCTTCCTCCTGCTCCTCTTCCTCAGCGGTAAGCAGAGCCAGGAGTCCGCTCAGGGCGCTGTCCCGTCTGAGCTCAGGGTCCGGGGGGGAGGCCGCCATGCTGCCGCATCACTTCCTGGAGGGAGCGCCGCCCAAAACAGCTGTGATCAGTGGAGCTGACGGACGGATGAGCGACCACCACCAGGAGGAGCTGTACAAGGAGAGGTAGTATCTTTACATTCTGCAGATACATGTAAAGTACGTTTAATGGACAGATGTTCCATTTACAGTGCAACTACTATATGTAAAGCTTCACACAGATTCCATCTGTGTATAAAAAAATACATTTAAGAGAAAGAAAAAAAAAACACATGTAATTATGTACTAGTACTAACGTACGAGTACTAAAGCTAAACAATTATAAAGAACATACGAAATACATTTGAGAAAATGCATCAACTTAAAAATAAATACCAGTAAAAATGTTATGAAACATGTATTACAATTTAGTAATAATAATATTGTTAAATCAAATGTAAAACAAATGTATTAATGGGGTGAAATGACTGTACTCTGCACCACAAGCCTCAGTTTCTTCTCATTTCACAAAGAGTAAAGGTACAAAACAAGGATTATTATTTGCACTAGTGATGGAGCCTTTAGCAGAACAAATCTGATCCAGTATTTTAGTTACCGGTATCCAAACCAATGAAAAAATACACCCAAAAAAAATACACCCAATTGATATCCTTGTGTTTTTGAGTAATCCCTTGTCCTCAGTCCCAGCTATTACCAACATAATGAATGAGTGTGTAAGGTTCACGATATAAGGTCAACTACGGGAAATCATTTGCTTCACCACTTGGGAATTTAAAATGCTCTGATTTATTTGGACACATTCCTTTCCAATTGGCCACTAATGGGTTCAAATATCTAGGCATTTTTGCCTCCTATAATTTAGAAAATGTGATTAAAATGAATTTGGACCCGGTGGTGAATGTGATCAAAAGACATCTCCAAAGATGGAGCCCTCTGCCAATACCACTGCTGGGACGGGTTGCCCTCATCAAGATGGATGTCCTGCCAAGGCTTTTATATCCAATGCAGATGTTGCCTAATTATATCCCAGCTAAGTTTTTTAAATCATTTCATAGTATAAAAGATACATTTGTGTGGAAATCTAAACACCCAAGACTTAAACTGGAGAAAGTGCAACTACCTTTAGATAAAGGGGGATTAGCACTTCCAAACATTATGTTTTATCACTGGGCGTCACAACTTAGATATATTACAGAATGGTTAAAAAATTATCCTAATTCTACATTTCTTGATTTGGAAAATAAAGGGTGTGAGCCCGCACTCTTAGACATGCCATTTATAAACAACGCAATTTCACTACATGGGATTAAAGATAACTTTATTGTTATAAATACTCTTAAAACATGGAATCAGGTACGAAGGTATTTTGGGATAATAAATCAATAATCTGCTTTAGCCCCAATTGTATGTAATCCTGCTCTGCTTTGGACTTCAAAGTCTGGAACATTTCTGGTATCCTTCAAATGTAAGATCTCTGTTTGGGAGTCAGTGCAAACGGAGATCAGAGAAGTGTTAGGCATAGATATATATTTTAACCCATATAACTTTGTCCTCGGATCAGATTTAAATGACGAACATAGACAAAGGCACATTATTGGTATTGCTCTGTATGCAGCACGACTCACTTGAAAGAGATAATGCTGCTGTGTTAGCATTAGCAGTCCTGAGGCTAACGTGATATCTGTGTGGCGTCCACAGGAACCTCCTGCTGGGGGAGATCGACCGCGAGGAGAGGGAGCGCTGCTGGTACTTCAGCCAGCTGGAGGCGCTGTCTCAGAGACTGGCTCAACTGCCCCGCATCGACACAGTGAGAAAACACACACACACACACACACACACACACACACACACACACACACACACACACACACACACACACACACACACACACACACACACGCACACACAGACACATTCACATGAGCACCTGCATCGGCATTAGTGTGACCTACTGAAGAAGTGTACTAAAGTCTGAGGTCCTTAGGCGCTTTCACACCGCAGTACTTTTCCCACAAAGGTTCATGAGAACTTAGTTCATCAGAACTCTTTAGTTCTCATGAACTAAGTACAGATCGCGTTCACACCGGAATAAGTCCCTGGGGGAGGATTAGGCAAATGAAGCCGCTGACGTCACTTCTTCTTCTTCTGCTTTGGGTTTACTGGCAGGCCGCAAACAACTTCACGGCGTATACTGCCACCCAAAGTCCCCGACCGGAAGTCCCCGGAGTTGGGGACTGGCTTCAGTAGAAGCTGCTGGGACTCCCAGCAGCTTCTACTGAAGCCTTCAGAGTAAATCGCCAGAACGCCGACACCTCCTCATCACTACCGCTCCCATGTTTTCTTTTGTGTTGCCATAAGTTAGTCTCTCTGCGTTTCTGCGCTGGGCTAATGCTAATGCTAATAATGCTAATGCCAGGATAATAAAATGGCGGCTTCACAAAACTTTTTGGGAGTTTTACGGGGCGTGCTTTGCAATCCGCCCAGCCAATCAGACATAGGAACCTTTTTCTCCCACGAAAGTCCCTGCTTTCTAGCAGGGACGGAAAACTGACGGAAAAGGCGGTAAAAAGGTTCTCATGAACTAATTTGAGTTCCGGCTCTTTTTGGTGTGAACGCGACATTTCGGAACTATATCGGAACTAAAGTGGGAAAAGTACTGCGGTGTGAACTTATGAGTATTTCTCTCCAACAAAACTCAGAGTAAAACATGTGCGCTATTGCGCCTAATTTACATTACATTCAGATGAATTAAACAAAAATATGAACATATACATTATGATATGCAATAAAGAGTTTATAAGATAAAACTTTATTCAGGTAACTGACATGTTTTTACCAGCATGCACATAAATGCATGAATAATACAATAATATATTTTTTAAATGTTTTATGAAATTGGCCATTCTGCATACATCTTTTTATTTTGGTAGTCAAAAGTACATTTGAAATTTGAAACCTTTTACTATAACTTTAAAATGAAAGGCGCTACTTTTACTTGAGTAAAAGTTATGAGATATTTTTTCCAAATGGGGCCAAGGAGTTGATAGTTCAATAAGTTACTTAAATGATTAATAAGTCAACTGACTGTTGTGGCTCTACACAGGAAGTCACCTTCTGTACTGCATTTGTCAAAATAAAAGATCAGATTACAGTAAACATCAACAATTCTGTTTTCTTTCGCTCACAGTGAGTAAATCAGATGTGTGGGGGCCTTTAGTATTTGAGTATCATGTGTGTACTGAGCTCTGTGTGTGTTGTTTCAGTTTTCTCTGCAGATGGATCTGATCCGGCAGCAGCTGGAGTTTGAAGCTCAGCAGGTTCAGTCTGTGATGGAGGAGCATTTCGGCACCAGTGATGAAGTGGTCCAGAGGACGCAGGTGAGAAACAGCCTGCTGTTTATGCTCCTTCTGCTACAGCAGATCATGTCATTCAATCATTTTATGAACAATGCAACAGAATCAGAATCTTAATTCATTTGGATTAATTTGATTAAATTAGTTTGATGAATTGTTGTCGATGGTATGCAGCACAGACATGTCTGAATGTATGCGTGTATGTTGTAGATTCGTGTTGCTCGTCTGGAGCAGCTGGAGGAAGAGCTGCAGGAGGCCCGAGGCAGTCAGGAGACCCAGCTACAGGTCAGACATACAGACATCACACACACAATACACAGACAGAGGGGTCAGCACAACAGAAATGCACACACATAACAGCAGACAGCAAATATAAAGGCTGATTCATGTTTCTTCCAACAAGTTGGACCGGGTCTCTTCTGGTCTAAGTCAGTCGGTGTTGACAGATACATTAAAATCATATTTGTGTTTAATAGTCTCAGTTGATGCCGGTCGTTCTCACAAATACTTTTTTATACATGTTTGATTGATGTGTCCAGACCTTAAAGCTGGAACATATGTCTCCATGCTTCATGCGGATAAACGGGCCTAGGTGTTGATGCATAAATACTAACAGCTTTTGTGTGTGTAAGGAGCATAATCAGCCAATCAGCTTGATGCTGGTGCTTAAGGATGGATCCATTGTGATCCCCCTTGTTCACTGCAGCAGTCGCTCCCAGTCTAACTCCACCTGACACAGTGACACCGACCCCCCGTAGGCCCACACCCAGAAAGCTGGGTACAGAGGCTCAGTGAAGGTGGAAGTGAAGGTATGGAGGTGGACCATGGTGTCCTGAGAGATGCAGTAGAATGACAGTGAGCCTACAGACCAGTTTAGGTAAACCCCGACTCTGTGGGTGAAGGGTTGTGGCGAGGAGGACCTGAACCTGTCGTTCTGGTGGCACGGCGTGTAGCTTCCCTCTGAACACTCCAGACTCCAGGAGCGCTCGCTGTGTCCCAGCAGACTGCTGCTGGTGTCTCCGTCTCTGGCGATGCTGTTGTAGGAGACGCCAATGTCTGCTCCGCCGCTCCACACCACCTCCCAGTACACCGAGTCCAGAAGCCCCTCCCTGCACAGGACCTGGGGGCAGCGCTCAAACCGGTCCGGGTGCTCCGTGGGCCGGTGATCCGACCACACCCGGGTCACCTTCCTGTTGCCTTCAGTCAGACGGAGCTCTGAGTTGGCAGTGTTGGGGTCAAAGGTCAAATAACAGGCAACTGAATGAAAAGACAAGGAACAAGATTATTCATTTCAGCAATTATTACGTTCTCCAACAGAAACTCCAAACAGTGGCTGCTGTTCTGTTTGAAATCGCAAAACATAGAGGGATGTACAATCCCTCTATTCTAAGTATTTAATAGAAAGAAAAGCAGCTGTGGCTCCTAATGATGATTCAGGCTGATTGTCTTCAGGTCAACAAACATTTCATATTATCTAAAAATGTCAAATGATGTTTCAGTTATTCTCTTATGAAAGCTGGTCTGCTGAGGACATCTTTTATAATATCTTCTCATGATTAAAGGAACATAATATAATGTCACAAGTTATCCTATTTTCTGGAGTTTACTCCCTGAAAACAAATGTGGGCTCTGCTTAAGCTTAAGCGATACAAAAGGTACAAGTACAGTATAGGTGTTTGCTGTAGTGCTGCAACAACAGTAACCACCATTAGTTTTGAGCTGGACAACCAGTTCTATCTAAAAGAAGAAAGATACAAAAAATAACAAGATAAATAAAGAAGATAACAAAAACAAAGCAATTAATTTGTGAAATTAAAATGTTAAATGTTCTAAATACACATATTGTTTATCAGACAGAACCACCAAATGAAGTGAACTCCTTATACATAAAGCAGAAAGGTAGAAAGCTTACAGTTTTTCAGCGACCACAAGTCTCCTCCCGGCTGACCGCTGCAGGAGCAGAAACAACAACATCATTCAGACGGAACACGTGTTACTGTCAGCAGAGCTCCTGCGGGTCCACTCACCTCCTGTTGTCTTTCTTTGGGTCTCTCAGATGAATGATACTGGTCTCAGAAGACAGAGGCTCCCAGGAAAGAGTCTCTGATGGCTTATGTTCTTCTTCTTCTTCTTCTTCTTCTTCTTCTTCTTCTTCTTCTTCTTCTTCTTCTTCTTCTTCTTCTTCTTCTTCTTCTTCTTCTTCTTCTTCTTCTTCTTCTTCTTCTTCTTCTTCTTGTCCTCCTCCTCCTCCTCCTCCTCCTCCTCCTCCTCCTCCTTGTTGTCGTTGTTGTTGTTCTTCTTCTTCTTCTTCTTCCTCTTTTACTTCGTTCCCCTTTATCCTCTCGTCTTCTGATGACACTGTAGTTGAGTTGTCATTTTTGTAACTTTCTGAAACAGACAAATCAAATGAAAATGGAGCTCAGTCGGCAGATTGGAGAGTCTGTGTGTAATATATCCAGTTATTTGATTCTGACAGTGAACCTAAGGTATATGTACTGTTGGGTTTTTGAGACAGATGTAAGAAATTCTAGATTACAAATTGTATTGAGTTACAAAACATGATTAAACAGCTTGACAGGAGCGTCCTGATATTTGACCTCTTAATACATCTGGCCCTCATTATTATTTGTCTTCCCTTAATTTGAATTACTTATTTAATTTGAGCTAATGAATCCATAGTTACAGAGAAGGCCTATTATTGTCCCTAATGCTGTGATACAAAGACTATGGATAGTCTGTAATGGTTTCTAAATTAATGTTTGGTTTAACAGCGAAAAGATCCAGCCTACCTGCCTGTGGTGTAGGAACCGTCTCCTCAGTGTGAAGTGTTTCAGAAATACTTTTGTCATCAGAGGAAGTTATATGCCCTTCACTGTCCTCCACTTCGTGCATCCTGTCCTTCATGTTTTCTGAGACGTTCTCTCCTCTGACTGTCTCTTCGATGGACTCTGAGAGGTTTCCCCTAAAGCCAGCATCCATTTGTTTCTCCTCCTTCTCTGAGAATACCTTTTTAACTTCCTCAGAGTTCTCTGCTTTTAGGACCAACGTCTTTTGGTCTCTTCTGAAAAGGCTTTCTGCTGTTATTTTAAAGGTGTTGGATGAATCTTCCTTGGCCTTGTTGTCCCTCTCCTTTGAAGGACCCATTCTGAAGACGCTAGAAAGGTCGTCTTTAAAATGAAGAAAGCTCAGACGGTTGATGGTCTTCTCTGCTGACTGACTTGTTTTAGTATCTGTGGACTTGGTCTCTTTCAACAAACTGAAGACGCTGGTCACATCTTCTTTAAACTGGCTCAAGTCCTCTTTCAGGAGGTTGAGCGTACTAATGGCAGGTTTATTTTCTGCCTGACTTGATGGGTTTGTGTCCTTGTCCCTGAACACTTTCAACACTTCTTCCTTAAACTGGCTCAAGTCCTCCTTGATGAAACTCAGTGGGCTTATGGATCTTATATCTCTCTGACTTGTTTGACGCAGGTCTTTCATCCTCGTGTTTTTGTCTTTTTGGTCTTCTTGTTCACCATCATCAGTCACATCGTCCTTTTGGAGAGATATTTCCGGCACTTTCTGCTCCCTTTCCTGTGTAGGTTCCTCAACATGACTCATTTGTTTAGCTGTATTGTTGGAGACTTCAGAGAGCACCTGTATTATCAAAAACATGTTGAATTCGGTAGTTAGTAACAAGTTGTCATTAATACTTGATTATGGTTAGAACTATTCTTCCATTCAGAATCATTCATTTTTATTTAGCACGTTTTTGTCACTTACACACCCAAATTATGTTAATTAAATCTCTTGGGTTCAAATAAAGTCCAACATTTTAGCAATGTCATTGGGATTAGCATGTGATGTTAGCATGCTGGTGTTAGCATGTTATTGAAAACTCCATTGTGTGTTAGTGCAGACCCACATAGCTGCCTGCATGACTCTACATTCATTTAGCTTAATGGTTCCCAACTTCAGAAAATACAATGTTACATTTTTTAAATGCTTATTATAGTCCAACCAACAGAGCAAACCCAAAATGAATCAAAATACATGAACATAAGGTCTGAGGTTCCTGTTGTCTCTACTCCTCTCAGTTCATGTTCAGACTTGTTCTTGAATCTGAATCAATCACAGCGTCTTAGTCAGATACTTACAGCTGCTTTAGCCTCCATGTTTCTGGACATTTCTTCCTTTGAAAACACACCAAGATGATTAAAAACTAATCCACATGTGTGTATCCTCAGTATGAGTGTTGTGGCTGTATCCTGCGTCTCTCTGTGTTGAAAAGGACAGTCGACATTCTTTCATTCAGCTGAACGTGTTTCTGGTTCGACCAGTTTGTCTCCATTTTTTGCTCAGCAGTCAGAGTCGTTTTACTCTGGGTGTTCCTGCTTTAGACAAAGTGAGCCCTCGGCTGCTTGTCACTTCTTTAAAGTGTTAGTTTAGGTTTTGATTTTGAGAAAAACTACAACTCAAGTTTCATTTAAAAAGGCTCTAAAATGTAAGAATTAAGGTAGTGAATGAAGTTCTGCAGAATTCGAAGTAAAAATAAATAATCCGTAAGCAGTTGTTCTATATTAGTTGATCTAAACACAAAATAGGTGTAATGACAAAGAAGTTACTGCATGAACTGATTTGTGTCTGTAAACAAACACATCTTACACACTTTCACCTCATTGAGTAGCTGATGCTAACATGTTAGACCTTTTTTTTAGCTTTAAATTAAAAAATGATAAAAGTAAATCCAAAACACACCATTTACCATTAGATAAGAAAAAGCTTATTAAAAAGTGGTGTAATAATATAAATCAATTGTATATATTGCACATTTTCATATCACAGTTACAAAATGCTTTACAATAAGATTTCAAAATAAAATGAAAAAATTCAGGGACGCAGAGAGAGTACTGCACTTAAGCAAAAATGTTGAGGTACTTGTACTATACTTAAGTTTCTTTATCTTCTAATTTCTACTTCTGCTTCAATACAGCTCAGATGCATATATTGTACTTTTTTAAATCCACTAGTGCAGACCATAATAAAACAATTCATACAGATAATAATGTAATCATATAAATCATTTACTCATGTCGTTGCTTTGGACTGTATGAACATGCCCACCATCACCAAACAGTAAATCAATAGGAATGCAACATATTTAACAGAAAAATAACAAACTCAATTTAGTTTTAAAAGGAAACAGAGCCTGTTATAACATATATAAGTTAATATACCCAGAGTGACTAGATTCATTTTAACTTATATTATCTTGTTAGTTCTTCACAGTTCTTTACATGATGGTTCTGGGTCAGTAGAACCTGAAGAACATGATTAGACATATAGAGGTCTCTCCTCATCCTCGCTCTGTCCATCTGCATCTTGGCTCGTTGCTATGCAGAGACAGGTCTGAGAGCTGAGCTGTGATTGGCTGTTGCCAGGCTGCAGGGCTGGCATGGAGCGAGTCTGAGATAAAGACAGCGAGTGGCTCGGCTTCCCTCTGAGAATAACAACGAGGCAGCAGGGAGATAAAAACATCAGCGGCAGAGAGACCAGCTAATACTGTGTCATTCTTCGAGCCCAGCTCCCCGAAGAGCACAGGGTCAGATTCTTTGTTGTGTCCCTTTACTCTCCATGGAAGTTTTGTGCTGCTCACACACATCCATATTCTGGATGGTTCACCTCACAACTCATTGGGACTTTAGCTTCTTGGGACTTTAGCTTCTTAAAGTGTTATATGGGTGCCAAAACTCCTGTAAAGTTTATTTAAGAAACAAAAAGAGAAGAATCTTGGATTAAAGGAGACCAGAGAACTGGGTCAGACCTAGTTAAAAATAAACCGGGAGATAATGAGACATGGGTGTCAGTCATGAGCTAATTTATTTGTATTTGTATGTATTTTAGGATTAGTGAAAAACAAGGATAAAACTTAAGTGAATTATAATTAATTATGTTCTGAATTGTTTCAAAACAGCAAGAGAACAATAACTTATAACAGTAAAATATAATACAATATATTTTTTATAGCATTTTTAAAAACAATATTAGATAGTAGATAAAGACAAATTACACATCAGTATAAAATACCATACAGTATTGCGAAAAAGATCAATAACAAACACATTATTATTATTGTTAGATAAAAGCCTTGTACTTTATTTAAATTATAGAATATATATTTATGTATGCATTCAATTAGACATTTTCTAACATGAATTGCCACATTATATTCCTATTTATGTGCATTTATTAAAATGATCTGCTGAGACATTATTATAGTGCAGATTCCGAATACATTTTGGGTGAAAGTAGTGTCCTTTTTTTGGAGATCAGTGTGCTATATTATTTCTATCTGCCAGGGTATGTACAGTGTTTTACCGACATAGGTGTGTAGCAACATTGTAAATAGTCCAGAAGGAACTATGTTTTTTTAAAGGTCCCCTATCATGCAAAATGCACTTTTTGATGTCTTTTATACATAAATATATGTCCCCGGTGTGTAAGGAGACTCACAAAGTGTCAGAAAATAAAACCCTCTCTCTTTTCCTCCGTACCCACATCTCTAAAAACGGGGGTACAACGGAGCTGATCCAGATTTGCTGCGTCATGACGACATTACTAAAATGTGGGCTGGCTTTACGCCCACGGCCCTATGAGAAACTCGCTATCAGAAACAATGCCTGTCGTGTTTGGGAAGTAATATGGTCTGTGTTTACCAGAGGTGGGGACTCGAGTCACATGACTTGACTCGAGTCAGACTCGAGTCGCATATTTTTTTACTTGAGACTTGCTTGACTAACATTGATAAAAGACTTGACTTGACTTTGACTTGGTATTCATGACTTGAGACTTGACTTAAGCTTGAGACAGATGACTTGAAAGGACTTGACTGTTTAAAATGAAATATTTGCGTTTGTTTTTGTAGTGAGATATTACGTTTAGTTTTTTCGAAAAACGTGATTGGGTGATTATAGCGCCATGCGCGCAAACCTGGCAACCCACTAGACGGCAGGAGTGTCAGTTAACATGGCAGCGGCTAGCGTTACTCCACAAATAGTGAAGTTTGGATTCAAGGATTATGTTGTAGATGACGCTAATAAGAAGAGAACAGCGGTATGCAGGGTCTGCAGCATAAAGATCAGTGACACGACCACCACAACATCCAACTTCATTCGTCACTACAAAAAAACCCACAGAGAAAGGTGCGTGAATGTGTTGTGTTAACTAGGAAGCTAACGTTAAGTTTAAGCTTTAGTTTTGGGCCGTTTGGAACATTGTGTGAGAGAGAGAGAGAGAGAGAGAGAGAGAGAGAGAGAGAGAGAGAGAGAGAGAGAGAGAGAGAGAGAGAGAGAGAGAGAGAGAGAGGAAGATATTGAGGAAGAGGAAGATATTGAGGAAGAGGAAGAAGGAGAGAGGAAGATATTGAGGAAGAGGAAGAAGGAGAGAGGAAGATATTGAGGAAGAAGGAGAAGAGGAAGATATTGAGGAAGAGGAAGATGGAGAGAGGAAGATATTGAGGAAGAGGAAGATAGAGGAAGATATTGAGGAAGAGGAAGATAAAGGAAGATATTGAGGAAGAGGAAGATAGAGAGAGAGAGAGAGAGAGAGAGAATGAAATGAACAGTTAGAACTGACTCTTGATCGCCCTCTCTCTCTTCTCTTGAACGGCATATGATGACACCCCATAATTGACGTAGAGCTGTTGAGGGCACGACCATTAACCATTATCTGAAGTCTACTGCTCTGAGCATGTCAGTTGGAGTGATGACATCATCGTGTTCCATTACACAGGTGTTTCAAGTTGAGCTAACGAGCTCTGTAGAGATCAAAGGTTTCCATTGTTCTGAATGAGAGATAAACCTGTTACATGTGAACGTTTTGTCGAAGAACCGTAACAGATATCTGTGAAATTTCAAAACGTGAAGCATGTCAAGGAAGTTGAGTATCTGAAGTGTAATTTTTGTGTACTTTCGGGTTAATAATGTGGCCTTTTTGGCAGTTTAACTAAAGGTGTGCGGCTGCTGCTGTGAGGAAATATCAGCCTGAAATTACAATGGGCTTTAATGGAGACATGTTGAAAGTGTTTGTCACTTCATGCCCTCAAGAGGCATTTTGTTTAATTATTTTTGCTTAATTATTTGTCATTTTTCAAGCTACGAGATGTTTTCCTACGTTTGTCATGAAAGATTATGTCTCAGGAATGTAGGGTTTGGGAATTATGGCAGTTTTAAAAAAAAATATGAAGGCAAATTTCAAGATTTCCTACCCTCTAGCTGTGACATCACGCACTCTAGTTAATGTTAAAATCTGAAGAAAGCCTCTTTACCAAGGTCTGAACAATGTTTAATATCTCTAAAAGTAAGAATCAGATTTAAAAGTTCTGTTACATGAATAATGTCAGAAAGATGTGTAACATTTTAAAGTTGGAATGAGGTTTCTGAGTGAAAGTATGAATGAACAGTTAGCAGTTGAAGTCGCATGAAGATTGTTCAAGTCTGAAGATTTTCTCCATTGACTTCAATGGTTAAAAATGTGATGAATTATGGGATGTATCTCTGGAATTATGAAAGTTATGAATGATAAAAGTAATAGCCTGCGATTCCTGACCGAGCTGAACGTTTTGATGTTTGAACGGAGTTTCTGCGATGTTGAATGTGGGAGGAGAAGAGGGCCAAAATAAGTCGGCGGAATAATAATAAGAATTTTGTCTGTAGCATAACATATGCTGTATCAGCATTCCCACTAAATGATTTGAAAATGATATCTATGTAGGTGCTGATGCTGTTGGCGGTTCTAGTGTTAACAGACATTTAAATTAAATATGTGTAATGGCAAATGCCATATACGATTTTCTTACCTGGAATTCTGCCTTTTTGAACAGACTTTTTGATTGAGTCCTAGCTATATTGTCTGCAGTTCTAGGGTTAATATTAATCTAATATGATTGTCATCGGTCTAAATTAGATTTCAAATGATTAACTGTGTATGTAATGAAGATCATAGTGTGGGTTGAATCGATTTTCATAACCACTGTCTTTTAACTGATTTAAATGTGGAAACTGGGCTTATTCATCAGAATTTCGTATGACTTGACTTGACTTGACTTGACCTGAGCAATGACTTGACTTGACTTGCTTGACTCTCACCACAGTGACTTGGGACTTGCTTGATACTTGTAGGTCAAGACTTGAGACTTGCTCATGACTTGCACATGTAGGACTTACTCCCACCTCTGGTGTTTACATTAGGAAGCATCGCTAACACTCAGAGCTAACGCTGTACTGGAGAGAGTATGTGTAAAGAAGCCAGATATAAAAG